TAGAAAGAGGTTTGCCAATGTCGGAAAACCCTTCTGTTCTTTCGATTTTTCCCCTCGAAAGAATGTGATTGCAGTGTGGGTGTAAGTGAAGTTTTTTAGAAAATGCCGTTTTTCCGAAAAAACTCTGTCGTGTAGAAGTAGCCTGGGCCACTGAGCTCTAGCCAGAGAAGCTTCAGAGTTGGTCTAACTTCCACTGGTTGGTGGTGGCTCTTTAGGGGTTGATTACAGCAGCCGTAAGGGCATTGCAGGATTGCTGCAGTGCTTTAGCTAAGCCCTCTTCTGCCTTTAGTCCCTCCACTGTGGGAACCTCTGTGGACTGGTTAGAACAGTGTGGTGTTCCTTTTGTACCTCTGGAAATATGCAAAAGAATCATAGCAGGAGCCATGCTCCGGTTTCATTTATTTATAGATTTGGCTACCCTTTAACAATGATTTCCAAAGTTCCCCACCATCCAACCCTATTTAAATCTCCTCCCCACGATTTCATGATTGTCTTTGGAAAGGCCTCCCACAGACTACAGAATAGTTGCAATGCTTCTTTCCTGGAAAGGCAGCAGAAATGGACAGCATCCATCCCTATTGCCTGCAGTGGGACTCGTTAATAATCTGATCACCAGCTTTTATGCACAATATTATTTTTTTAAAAGAAAGTTCTTAAAGGTATTTAAAAAAACCCAAACCCAACTCCCTAAAGAGAAAAAAACTCAGATGCTCAGGATCATTGTAAAGCCTGCACACATAAAATGGAGCGTAAATGTCTGCCAAGTGGAAACATGGCCTTTTAAGCAAGTTTTTCTTTAAAGTCTCCTTTAATTTTTTTTTAAAGCCTAAAACAAGAGCTGCTTGAAGAACAAAAGCACAGGATGCTTTTTAAGCCTTTAGAAGATGAAACCAAGCTTCAGTGGCTGGAAATGTGGGCTTTAAAGTTGCTGATAAATAAAATCTTGAATGGTGTTTCCTTTACCCCCCACCAAACACAATTAAAAGACTCTTTGGGAAAATCTCATAGGTGCCAGTGCTAAAATTTAAAAAATGAAAGGCAATCCACGTTAGTTTATTTATTAATTTATCCACCCAGTAAGTGTCTAGCCAATTGTGTGATATCGAGTAAAGTGCAGTGAATATTGTCAAGTATGACCACGTCTCCCTGCCATACATAATATCATTATTGCTGTCCTTTATTTGCACACTTCTTGGGACAGAGGGAGAAGGGGCTGGTAAAGAGGGAAGTTTTAAAAGGAAGTTATTACTATTCATAAAACCAGATGGAAATGTTGATGGTTCTGGATGTTCCCCTCATAGAATGGGTTTGTCCTCGACAAGTAGTCGTTGGACGATTCCATTGCTGATCTTGAATGCTGCCACAAACATTTGCTTTTGGGATCTCCTCTAGGCAGTGTGTTTCCTGCTTGGCACTTTAATATGATGTGTCTCAAAGGTGGCTCATTTTAGGATTATCTGTCCCTCCACTTCTATCTTTGCTTACAATCAACATCTTGCTAGGGCACATAGAACATATTTTATTTATTTGCACAGGAGCAGAAAAAATATATTAGAGATGGGTTTGCATGTAATCAAGAGCTTCCACCTTTCAACAGTCCCAGGCCTTGCTTGCAGGGGTGGGAAGGACTGACATTCAGAATCTGAATGGATCAGATGGTTCACGCACCTCTCTGTTAGAAAACAGGAATAAATAGAAAATGGACAGAACTAGTTACACCCCTTAATACTAATGCTGGCTGTCTAGTTTCATTAAATGAGCATTCTCCTAGTCTCCAATACTTGGCTATAGCTTGAAGCTAGTGAGTGAGCTGGATGGCAGTGATGGTCACATGAATTTCCTGCTCGGGGCTGTGATGATGATAAACTGGAATCCCTTCTTTGAAAGAATAATCTAAAACTGCTTCTGGTTTGGTTGGCTATGCCAGTTGTCTTCCCACTCCAGATCACACTTGAGCCTGAAAAAGAGTTCCCTGTTCTATGTAGTTGTGCTTGCAATATAGATCTCTTGCACTGGATATGTGCACCATCTATCTACAACATGTAACGTGGAGGGGAATCACAAGGAATTCTGCCCAGACTGGTAAGTGTCAGTGATCTCTATATAATCCATTGCTAGTTGTGATGTGGTTACTGGGAACCTAGAACCTATGTACTCATGTTCTTATATTCTACATCCCTGTCTACACTTACCTGCTGTGATGTGTGTGTATATATGTAAGAGAATGCTGGAGAGGGCACTGGTCTAAAACACCTGCTGTGGTGCGCAGTGAACAGAATGCTGAGCTTGACAGGTGGGAGGGATGCCAGTCAAACACCTTTGCTTTCGCACGGGTAGAGATTATAATGGTGCGGAGTGAAGGACCTGCCATGGTGTGTTGGTCTAGAACACAACTCCAGTTGTGTTCTAGACAGACTGCTGACTTAGAACCTACTGCCTAGACACAGCAGTGCCCTGATCTGTAGGTCTAGAATACGGATGTAAGCAACTAGTCGACTACCTGATAAGCATATGCTTATCGAGTAGTCAAGTAGTGACTCGACTAGTTGCTCCCCTGAACCTTGCTGCCTCTATCAGAGAGAGGCAGCAAAGGTGGGGAGCAGAAGCAGATGGTGGTGGGGAGCCGGCTTCAAAGCTGGCTCCCTCCAGCACTGTCTTGTGGGGCCAAAAGAGGCAAAGGCATAGTGGAGGACCAGCGCAAGCTGGGAATCAGCTGATTTGCAGCTCACACCTGGTCTCAGGCACTGTGTCCTTGCTTTTCAAATGTATTAAGAACTGCCAGGAATCAGCTGTCCTGGCTCGCTTCTGGTCCCCTGCACTGCACATCTGCTTTTTAAATGTATTACAAGCCTGACAGCTCTTAATACATTTAAAAGTCACAGCCTCACACCGGCCCAGGAGCTAACTCTGCTGTGGCTCTGCAGATACCCCCTGGGCAACTAATTGAGTAGTCGATGGAAATTCCATCAACTGCTCGATTAGCTGATTATCCGCAATATAACAACTCTAGTTTAGAACACAGCGCCAGTGTAATCAGGCAGATGGCTGACCTAGAACCCACTGCCTAGACACAGCAGTGCCCTGGCGTGTTGTTCTAGAACACAGCCCCTGTGTAAGGCAGACAGACTTCTTACCTAGAACCTGCTGCACAGACACAGCAGTGCCCTGGCATGTTGGTCTAGAACGCACCCCAGCGTCAGGCAGACAGACTCTTGACCTAGAACCTGCTGCCTAGACACAGCAGTGCCCTGACACGTTGGTCTAGAACGCACCCCAGTGTAAGGCAGACAGACTCTTGACCTAGAACCTGCTGCCTAGACACAGCAGTGCCCTGACACGTTGGTCTAGAACGCACCCCAGTGTAAGGTGACTGGCGGCTGACCTAGAACCCAGCAACTAGGCACAGCTCTAGATCCCCACGAACTAAACCCCGGCTGCCTCTATCTGATAGGTTCTAGGTTCTCGCTCTACAGCCCCGTGAACCTAGAACCTCTGGGAGCGGTGCCGTGGGAGGGCGCAGAAGCTGAGCGGAGCCGCAGCCCCCGCAGTGGGGGAGCGTTGGCCAAAGCCAGCGGCCCCTTTAAGAGCCGCCCCGTCTCCTTACTCTATGTTTACATAACACAGCGGGCTGTACCACTGCGGTCCCCGGAGGGGGTGAAGAAGCAGGGAGGGGCGGCTCAACGGCGACTTCCCCC